ATGACTGGGTCTTCACTGCATCTTTGCAACCCACTTCCGGGTTGTGACCACAGACAATCATCTCACCTCTGCGATGCAGATTTCCCATCTGCACAAAGGGGCTAGCATCATTCAGGAGTATTTATCTTACGTCAGGCACGTGCGTATTCAGTTGCTAATGCTCGCTGTAAAGAGGGCACCGGGATTCTGAATTGACATTTGTAGAGCTCTGGGGCCTCCTTATAATTTAAGGGTGATCTAGGATATTCTAACTTGGAAGCGATTAGAGAGAGGACATGTACCTAATGTCATGCCCGTCAATTCGTCTTCTGTGCCTCTGTCAAACCACGTGGTCAACCAGGAAAAAACTAAGAGGCTAATGAAAAGATGCTGCTGCATTTGAGCTGAGCTTCTCTGTGCTAGTATTGTAACAAAAATCCATGAAAGAAAGAACAGGTACTACGAGCGAAGAATATTGACCTTCAAAAGTTATTTCTCCCTTCCCTATGTCCTTGAAAAAACCCCAAGTAGCAGTCTGTTTGGGTACGATTTTCAAAAGCATGTAAGGGTACCTCTAGACATGCGGGGACGCTGCTCCAATGTGCTGTAATTACAGTGTGTCGGAGCAGACTTGATTAATTGAGTCTGCTAGAGTGTGATAATTAGTGTGCTCCCCGTCTCATGTATTTGGCACCCCCATTGAACGAGCTGCAGTTAAAGTGCCCCCGCCACCATTTTGAAGTGTGGGATGCTGAATACATGAGACACTGCGGGTGCTTTAATTAGAGTGGCTCGAATTAAAGCATCCTGCTCCTCCCTCCCACTGCACACCCAGAGCACGCGTAAAGAAGCCCTAAGTGACTTAGCTGTCTAATTCCCTTTCTCTTTTAATGAGACTTAGGCACCCACGCAACTTAAATGCATCTGAACAGGTTACACTTTGTCATCATGAACTGAGTACTACTCACAGGCAGCTAGAGTCCTACAATGTACTGCATGCCACGTGTCGCTATTTCTTTTCAGGACGCTTTCCAATCTGAGAGGCCCCGTGCCAACATGAGGAGAAGCACAGGCCTCACTGCAAACTGCTTCACCCCAGTTCTTTTATTTATCACAGACATCTCTGTAATTCCCTTCGAAACAAAGGGGGGTTGTTACCAAATACAACAAAACAATTTAGGCCTGGACTGAAAACACAGAAAACAAAGCAGCGATCAAAATTTTATATCCAGCAACTTCACCAGAAACAAGATTTTGCTTTGCAGATGTCCTAATACACATGCCCACAAGATGGCAGAATGCACCGTGCCACTTAAAGCGTGATCTACCCTACTCCTCTCAGTCAAAAATGGTATAAATATTTCAGTTTCCAAACCAAAGCCTGGGACAAGAGTTATTACCCAGAAAAAACTCAGTGAAGATATTTTCTTCATTCACCCCATTACGGTGCTGATGTTACTGAATACAGATATTTTCTCTAAAAGCTACAGCTGGGTTCTAGCAAGAAAACTCTTGATTAAAACCCTGAGTACTACAAAAGTTCAAAGGGGCTCAGATCTTAAGTTTCTGCTTGATCCATGGTAGATCCCATAGCAAACATCAGCTACCCATCTCAGCCCAAAGACGTGTGTGTCCAGGAACAGAGTTAGATACAGACCCCATCTCTGGTGTAAACCCAAATAAAAGGAAACCAAATTTCCAAGGCAACATGGAACAAGGAAGGAGGCTCCCTTTCTCCCTATCTCGGCGCTCCTAATTAATGCACTGTGGCCTAGGAATGGCTCTGAATTCTTAACCAGTTAATATATATATATGATACACACACACATCTATATACACATACACACACACACACACACACACACACACACATACATAAATATATACACATACATATACACACACACTATTATATATATATTATATATGTCATGGAACTAGCAGAAACATATTCAAGCATCTGGTCTAATTTTCTCCTCCTACTGGTTTGTTCCCTCACTTACAGGGAAGTGTCAACACACACTTAGCAAGCCTTGGCAAGAGAACAGGACAGGAACTGTCCAGTTAGAAAGCAAAAAGTTGTTATTAATGGTTTTTTATAAGCTGGATAATGATACTGTTTTAGGATAATAATGATCTTTGATAGCAGTAAGATTTTTCAGCACTGAGACAGGGAAAGACCTTGTACCGTTCTGAGCTGAAAAGATGTTTTGGGGGCTTTGAGATAAAAATAGCGTCAATTTGGGAAAAATGAACGGATATGAAATAAGAAGGGGGTTATTTTAACACTCTCACACTGATACCTTTCTAAATATCCCTAAGATTCACTGAAACCAAGGTAATGCAAAACAGCAAAACAGTCATTGCCAGCACTGCATGACTACATTCAAATCTAGTTAACAATGATACATCAAGATTAAGCCAGTTGTCAGGAAGTGTTTCACTTGTCAGCATTGCACAAGATAAACCCATGGCAGTAATTGTGTGGCATTTAGCTTCCATATACGCATGTGATAATACATGAATATATAAGCAAGTCTCAGAAATAAATGGAGCATTCTACTAATCTGCCTACAGGCAGGGTTGAAATACCAAATTAAGCATTTTCACTAGGTCTTCAAGATGGAGCTTAAGTCTGGCTGACTGACAATTAAGGACCTTGAGTAACACGTGACTATGCTCTCGTCTCAAAGCAAAGCCATTATCAAAGGCTCAACACAACACAGGAAAATCAGGCTTTCCTTCATCCTGGTATAAATCAGGATTACCTCACTGAAGTCAGTGGATTTAAACAGGTGTAAGACCAGTGAAAGAGGATAATTAGGTCCATAGATTTCAATGAAGGGTATGGCTTTCACATCCCGTGTGAAAGGAGCCAAGCTCCCCTGGTGAAGAGGTTCAAACAATGGCATAGTCTATACAGCCCTTCGTTCTTCTAACTTAAACATGTTGGCTATCACTCTGTTGGAAGCTCGTCTGACCTTACAAACCAAAGCCTTGCTATCTTCACACAGACTTCAAAGAGTCTTAAGAATACTTAAGACTAAGGGTTTGTCCCATCGTCCTTTGCCATTATTTTGTCTCCTCTACTTTTATACAGTGAGTGTTGTTATTGATGTAGTTTCCACCTGGCTGTTACCTGCTTTCCACCCCAGAGATGGGTGCATTTCAGATGCAATTGGGAGGAAGCACTGCCTTGTGGACAAGGTACTGAAGGGCAACCTGGGAGACGTGAGTTCAGGGCTCAGCTCTCTTGCACACCCCCTTGTATGACCTTAGACCACCCACTCAGGGCCAGATTCTCTATTTCCACGTCAAGCGCCTAAGCAGCACTTACATAGCTGCCGAACTGCAGTTTTTGGCACCGAGTTAGGGATTTGCCCTGTGCTTCCTTACTGCAAATGCTCAGTCATTTGCACTTTGGCTGTGTAGGTACCCTAGGACATGTGCAATGCTGGGAAAGTTCTGAACCTTTAGCTGGAGAAAATTCATGACTAGTTGGTGTTAGATACCAAAGGAGCAGGGGCTGCCTTGCCTTTTAGCTCAGCAGGTCAGTGGCTGGGGCACTTGCCCTGGGAGTAGAAGCCCTGTTTTCTAGACCAGTGGGTCTCAACCTTTTTTGTACCAGGACCCAGCAGTAAACACGGATGGCCAGTCCTGACCTAGTAAATAGTTTAAGTAGAAAACAGCCCCCTGGACCTGCTGGTGCCTTTCACCGCCAATCCACAGCCCCTCACCCTTCAGCCCTGCTGGTGCCCCTCACTCTCGACTCACTGCTCTCTGCATGTGTGGGGCAGGGTGTGGGTGTGTGAGGCAGGGGGGCACATGCCCCTCCAGATGTGTGTGCCCACAGTGGGCACAGGGCTGCAGCCTGGCTGGACCAGCACAGGCAGGAGCCACCTCTGTGGCCCAGCAGGCAGGACCCATAGCAGGATGGTGGAGTGGGGTTGTGAGTCTTGTTGTTGCCGTTCCCACCAGCAGGACCCCTGTGCCACCTGCAATACCAAGAGCATGAGGTGGGGAGGGAGCATGCTGCCCTCATCTCCTGCTGCCAGCTGCTCATGCACTGCCATAACCCAGCTGCCGCTGCTGCATCCCACAGGCTGCCCGCACTGCTTGCCACCCCATCTCCATGCCGGGGTAAAGCCATGGACTGAGAGGAGTGGCAGCAGTGGCTGGGCCATAGCAGTGAGCAGCTGGCAGTGGGAGAAGGTGAGGACAGTCAGTGTCTGGTGTTCAGGCACCTAAACAATGGGACCTGGGTGCTTGTATCCCTTGAAGCAGGGGTCAGCAACCTTTATAAGCTGTGTGTCAGGACAACCTGGCCAGTGGTGTGCACCCAGACCAGGCGCTGCTTCTCTCAATGCCAAGCCCCTGCCTGACTGGGGCATGAGTGGATTTTTCAGCCAGTGGGAGACTGAGCCAGGGCCAGGTCTGGGCAGCTTGCAGCTGCACCCATGCCACTGCCTCTCCTCCCTGCCCCCTACAGTGTGCATGCAACTGGAACCTGCCCAGCCCCAGCCCAGTTCTTCATCGGCTGGAAGCTGTGTCTGAGCTGTAGCAAGGAGGTGGAAGTGGGGGGAATGGGGAAAAGCAGCTGTGATGTGGGCACAATTTCCATTTGCCTGGCTCCAGTGCACTTCTTGCTGCATAAAACCAGGACAGGCCACAGGCAGAGGCAAAGCCCCACCTCTGGCTCCATGGCATGGGCCAGATTCAGCCCTGGGCTGTATGCTGTTGACCCCTGCCTTGGAGAACCTGAGTTTGAGTTTCTCAACTGGAAGTAGTGTCAGACTCAAAGCTCTTACATTTGGTCAGCCACCCTAGCTAAGTCAGCTAGGTGGTTCCCCTAGTGAGGCTGCTGCTACACAGCAGTATGCTTTGCATTTGACTAGCCTGCTAAACCTCTCATCATGTACAGTTAAAGGAAAGAGGGAGTCCACCTTCCTGACTCATGCTAACATATGGAGACTAATAACACAGCAGCCACAGCATGGATAGACAATGCTTCTGACACATACCTGCCAGACTGGAAGGACCTTCTCTATGTCGTTCAGGTTGATCCCGTCTCCATCCTCATACTTCCCTTTCCCAAGCCTAAAGCAAAAACAAAACAAGAAAATCACTTAAAGTTTCCACAGTTAAACTTCTGCCACAGCACAAAAAAGGAGGAGGGGTAGTTTCCTCCCTTGAATGGAAGGACTGCTGGGGGTACACACACAAACACGTGCACACATACACAGGCACACGCATGTAAGTGGGGACAATCTTTGGGGCAAGTACAAATGGGAGATTTGCCCATCCAACATCTTTACCTCTTCTTGAGCATCCTCTTTCTATATAAATGTAGGTCAGAACAACATTACCCACATCTGACTTAAAATTTGCAATAGCAGTTCAGTGCAACCTATACAATCCACCAGATGCTTGAGTCTAGGTAAAGAAGGGGGTGAAAAAAACCCAGAACCCTCAGCCTGGACTCCCAGATCCAGATGCACAGCACTAGCATAGTGACTGAGGCTACTCTTCCACCATGGTTGCCTCCAGTTTTCTTAAATCCTCGTTCACTCACTGGAAAGGGTTTTGGCTTTCCAACCCAAAAGATCATGTGGATCTTCGTCTCCCTCCAGTGGCTGGTCTCTGTAAGAAGTTTAGAATCAGCTACAGCTAGGGAGCTTAGGGCTAGACCAGGGGTGTCAAACGTATGGCTCACAGGCTGGATCTGGCCCATGGCCTGCCTTCCAGCCTGCAGTGCTGCCCCATTGCTCTGATCAGACCCATATGGGGCATCCCCGTGGTGCATGGCTGGGGCTCCAGACCAGCTGGAGAAGGAGGAGGTGGAGAAGGGGAAGGATAGGCAGTCTGTGGGTTTGATCTGGCCTACAGACTGACCACATGCCACTCATTCAGTCCATGGAACCAGATGAGTTTGACACCCCGAGCTAGACCCATAAAGAGATGTGGGCTTTGTGGCACCCAGTACCTTGCTCCAAGGATTATTTATGTATTTTACAAGTAGCAGCCACTGGACAAAATGCATAAACCATCCTGATGAAACCTCCCCAGGGAGTGCCTTAACCACTAGACTATAGTAACTTGCTCCTTCTCTTCCAATTTATCTTAAATTCCCTTTTGCAAAGTGGAACAGCTGCAACAGTAGGAGTGGAGACTGCCCTCGTGCCCTACAATAGTCAAGAGCTTGATAGTCAGGGCACTCTTCCGGGAGGTGGGAGATGAGGCCTTGAGGCAGCAGGGCGAGTTAGCCTGGCTGTACCACATCCTAGATGAATGTAGACCTCAGGCAGAAGAGCTGCTCTTGCTGCAGCCACACCTTGGGCCACCTAACCTGAAAGCAGATATTAGTCTTAGGATGTAGTGTAACACACAGATACCCAGCTAACTTGGGACTGGGATCATATAGCTGGGTCAGTATGGAGCTCAGCAAGGTATGCCAGCCTACATAGAGCTCCATGCTAATGCAGTAGATGGGCAATGCTTTACAGCACTGCAGTCTGCTATTTAGACATACTCTTACCCTTAAGCAAAGCAGACCGATGCTTGCAATGTCCGTCCCTAACAGGGTAACATTAATCCCTTGAGTTAAAGAAGCAAAGCCTAAACCCAGCAACTGATGGTATGTGGGAAGACTGCTGTACCCGAGTGAAGTCCCAATACAGTCAACAGGACTCTGAATGGGTATAGCAGTCTACCTGAAGACTGTGAACTGCAGAATTGTGTCCTATGCTACCCTTATGAGAGCCAGCCATCGGACCTGCTGGGAAAAACTAATCATCAAACTGTCCATTGTTACTTATTATTGCATTTGCATTTGTTATTTACATTGGTGTGTGTGCATATGCGTGCGTGTGCCTGCACGCAGAAAGGTAGTCTTGGGGGATTTTTCTTAGGACAAGCAAAAAACCATGAAACCTGCTTTACTGAGTGACAACACTGCTCAAACAGGTTTGCCACACAGTGTATTCCCTCTTGGCTACCGACAGGTTTGTGAAAATACCTCCTTTGCCAGGAAGTTACATTTCATGGAGCTTTTATAAAGAAACTTATTCGGAGTCCGTGACTGCAAAAAAGTAAACGTTTCAGCCTCTCCTCCTTACAGAGCATTAGGATGTCGCGCAGCCATTATAACACCATGTCAATATGTTTGATGTCCAGCTGCTTTTTTACATTCTTCATCTCTGCCTTCTTCCACTTACATGGACTTGTATCTATACACATTAATGAAAATAAGGTATAAAGCCCTTTCCTTTACAGGGTATTGTCAGGCCATGGCCTTAAACCCAGGGCCTCAGCCTTCCTGGCATGGCCACCCATCCTGGTCCACCATGCCCCCAGCTGAGCATCCAGGCGGGACCCAGATGGTTGGATCCTTTGACCTGGGACTAGGCACTGGCCCATTCCCTGGCACCAGAGTGCCTGGCCACTTCCTATAAAAATCCCTGGCCTGAAAGAGGAAGTGTTTGAGTAACAGGGATCCACTTTGTACCCAGACTACTCTGCCTTTGGCTTGTGCCTCTGCTGCTTTCTGACAGATTCTCCGACTACCCAAGGTTGGCCTGACCCTTCAGCTCTTTAACCCAACTCCTGGATTAATCCTTTGGGTACCTGACCCAGCTGGCCTTCTGACCCTGCAACTCTGCTCAACCCTCCAGATCTCTGACAGAAGGATCTCCTGCTTTCTGGCTTCCCAGATCCCCTACACAGACACTCTGCATGCTCCTTCAGATCTCCATTGCTTCTCCATGCCCTGGGTGACTTCTAGACTTCATCACCTACAACCCAGCATGACAGATATTCAAATGTAGTCAAACATATCTGATGCATTTTGCAGGGACTAGTGATGATGACTTGATCCCAATTCAAAGAGGCAAAATAAAGACACTCCCAAAGAAGTGAGTTTAAGTCATGTTTAAACAAAAAAAAAAGTTAATTTCCCAAAACTCAGGAAAAATTTGGAGCAAAACTGATTAGGAGGAAAAACAGACAGAAAAACCACGAATGAAATTTGAGACTTGTTAGAAACAAGAGGATCAAAAAGCTACTATCCTGTAACTGAGAAAGAGGGCTGCTCTTCCTGACTAAAAAGGAAAAGAGAGCTGTAATTAGAATAAAATTAGAATAAAATGAAAATAGTACATATGAAAAAGGTGGAAAAAGGCAATCAATAGAAATCAGAAGTTATGGAGTGTAGAACATTTTAACAGAAGGTAAAGATATCAAGGAAAAAATCCACGGTTGGAAGGACAAGGGGATTTACAAGCTTTTATTGTAACAGGAACAATAAAAAAAAAAAGAAATTCTAGAGACCCATTACTAGACAGATATGGTGAAATTGCTAATACTGATGTTGAAAAGGCAGATGCGTTTACCCCATATTACTATTCTGCACTTAGAAAGAGGCAGGATGATCCATTCGTGTCACACAAGGATGATGAACTACTTTTCAGTCCATTAATAACGAAGGAGCATGCAGGCAGTGCCTAAATGAGGAGACCTGAATAACCTGCACTTAGGAGTCCTAAAAGGATTGGCTGAGTAGATAACTGATCCAGTGATGGCAATTTGTTAGTAAATCACAGACTATCAGGGCAGTTCCAGAAGCCTGGGGAGTGCTAGTATTGTCACTATTCAAAAAAGGGCAAGTAGGATGACCTGGGTAGTTATAGTCTGCTTAGAGAGAGGAAGTTACCTGTCTGAAGTCAGGCAGAAGGGTGGGTAGATTTGCACCATATAGACTAACTAAAACAGAGATGCCTAAGTTTTCATAAGCAGCAGCTTACTTGATTAGATACAGAGAACTTGTTAGTCAGATATTAGCCCTGGGTGAGGCTTTGGAGAGATGATATGAGATTCTACAACCCCCCCCTGAGAGATAGGGGTATAATTCAAAGAAAAGCAGAGCTTTACAGAAAAGGAAGCATGGCAGACAAATCTGCTTGCATTCTTTACTGAGATACGGAGTAAAGGTAGATGTGTGGGTGTAGCAGTCGTTAGAAAGGCATTTGACTTAGCGCTGCCAAACATTCTGATCAAAAAACGAGCACTCTGCAACATCGAGACAGTTGACTGGATTATGAACTGGCTGTTCACTGGATTATGAACTAATTGACAGATCTCACATTCACAGTCTCACATGAAACGTTCATCACATTTCTAGTGGGGCTCTGCAAGGAGCAACACAATATTTGTTCCCAATGACATCAATGTTAAGCCAGCACTGATGAAATCTGGAAATGTCACAGACTGGAAAACGGTGACTCAGACAGCACAGTTATACTGAGCTATCTGGATTAACTGGCATGACAGGCCCATTCGAACAAAACACGCTCTAACGCAACCAAATCCAAGGGTTTCTATCTAGTAAGGAGCAATGTAGGCCATATGTGAAGAACAGCAAGACTATACCCTCGAAGAGAGCTGCTCTGAAAAGGATTTAGAAGGCCAAGTCCATAAGGAGCTCCCAGTAGTGGTGCTGTGAGCCTTGGTTGTAAGCAGAGGGATACCGAGTAGGGGCAGGAAGAGGACTTTACCTGAGAAAGACCAGGACTGGAAGACTGCATACAGCTGTTTCAGAAAAAATGCTGAAAAACGGAAAGTGGTGAAGGAAAGAGCCAGAAGAAATTACCTAAGAGCTGGAGAAGTGGGAGATTTAAATTGCCAAATCTGTTGAGTTTATGGGAAAAGAAGAAAAGAATTGAGAGATTTGAGAGAAGGCTCGATTACCACAGATAAGGGTTTTCTTTTCGCCATGGAAAAATGTGGTAAACCCAGATTTTCTTTTTCAAAGGAGAACTACACAAGAAACAGTGGGTTTCCCCTTGCAGGTTAGCAGAGATGCAGACTGCAAGGGGCTGGGGGGAGAGGGAGGAGGGCGGTCAGGCAGGGGCACCATGTGCATGTGCTCATGTACACATGCACATGGCCACCAGGCAGCCTGGAGAGCAGCTCCCACAGGTAAGTCTGGTGGCCGGGGGGAATAGAGGCTCCCAAAGTGAGGGAGGGAGGAGCTGGGCTGGGCTGAGGATGCTGCCCAGCCAAGAAGGTGTGTGGGGGTTGGGGCCTGAGGCCAGAGTGCATGGCTGCAGGGTGCAGGCAGGGAGCAGGACGCAGCTACATGTGGCTCATTTGGGGGCAGGGCTGGGGGCTGGCTCCCTGCTGCTGCGCGCACTCCTGGGGGAGACATGTGGGCACATGCACGCCAGATTTGTGCATGGGGCCAGGATGGGCTGCCTTCTGCGGGCTCCCCGCCCTGCTACCTTCCCTCGTGGAGTCTCCGCAGCCTGGCGGGTGGGACCTGGTGCAGCATGGCAGAGTAGGGTAGGGAAACTCGGTGCCACTGCCACAAACCTTGTGCTGCTGTGGCGAGGCACCTACTGCCTGTCTGGCAGCAGTGGGAGTGGCGGCACAGAGTTGTGCCCCTCGTTGTTGCTGGGCAGGCAGGAGGCACCTTGTGATAGCAGCGTGGAGTTCCCGGCAGCAGCAACGACCTTCCCCGGCCTGCCCTGCTATGCCCTGCTGCACCGTGTCCTGCCTGCTAGGGCCCAGAGGCCCCAGGGGGAGGGCAGCAGGGCGGGAAGCCCTGAGCCCACAGTGGGCAGCCTGCATTTGCCCACCGCCGCAGCAGGCTCTGCTCTGGCCGTGCCACCTGTGCGGGATGAAGGCTGGGCTCCACAGGGGGGGAAGGAGGGAAACCATAAATATATCAATAAAATATTGTGTTCAACTGATACTTACACACACACACACACACACACACACACAGGTGCTCACCTTCAACTGATGAGGAATGAAAATGTCAGCATATTTTTAGGCAGAGCGACTGAAGGGATTAGCAGTTATGTTTACCTAGTGAAATCTCTGCTAAAACCCCCCAAAATCTGCATTTTTCCATGATAAAATAAGATGTCACTATATATACATACATACACGTTACCCTGTGTGTATGACCCCCAGGGCAGGGGCTCAGACTAGAAGATCTGCAAGGTCCCTTCTGACCCTACATCTATGAATCTACACTGGATCCAAGCTTTACTCAAATATTATCGCACCAAAGGGACAGAAAGGGCCTCAGGATGTCGTCTAGTCCAACTCCTGCTCAAGGCAGGACCATCCCTATCTAACCCACTGCAGCCAAGTGTTTGTCCAACTTGCACTTCAATGCTTCCAGTGACGGAGATTGCACAACATCTCCAAACGACTTGGTTTGGGTCCATCTTTGTTAAAAAAAAACCCTGAACCACACAAAGCAACAGAAAAACTCCAAGAGGAAACTGTTCTGTCCTGGTGCCATTGTAAATCACCAAGGTTCCCACCTCGACTTCCTACAGTTCCTACGTCCCCCGTGTGACCCACACCAAAGGGACCATGCCACCATAACAGAGCTTTCATTGTAAAGAGACACACCCACACCTGCACTGCTAAAAAAAAAAGAGGTCATTACCATGCCTAGGAGCACTCATAATGGGCCAGGATCCCACTGTGCTAGGTGCTGTACAAACAGGGCACTTACCCTTCTCTGTCTATGTGGGGGAGAGGGTGTTTGGAGGTGTTCCTCAGCTTCCGGTGAAACTGTGTGAAATCCAGCTTTTCAGGCTGCAGATCCCAGGTTGCACCGCTACGAAAAAAGAGAGAGAGAAAGAGACAAAGAGCATGCTACTAATTAAATGTATTTGGAGTGGGAGGAACATATTTTAAGCACTCAACCTTTGGCAAAAAAGGCCATGATTTCTAGAGACAGCTTTTGCATTCAGCATAGCCTGACCAGCACATCCATGAGCTTAAGTGCCATGTTCCTAGTGACTGCTCTGAAGAGGTCCTCCAGATGTAGCACCATTAACCTCCTTAGCTGCATTGGCTCTTTAATTAAAGGTGCTTTGGAAAAAGCTGCCGTTTTTCCTGTGACTGCTACTCTGGAAAGAAACTAAGTGCCAGTACCCTGTTGGAAGGCCTACAGGTGGTACTGGAACAGCAGCGCCACGGTGGATCTTTCCCTGAGAAGCCTGTTTCATGCTTGTTCTGGAGAGGATACAGAATGATGCACAGAACTGGGAAAAATCTTATTTTATGCATTCAGTTTTTACAGGGCTGGTACCTGTGGTGTCTCAGGGTGGCATGGCAACTCAAACTGCGTGCTGTAAGCGCTGAAGTAAAATGCACGTGCACGCTGCAAATTAACGGAAGGAATTGATTTATAAATTATGAATTGAATTATCTCAAGTCCTAGAAGAAGAGTTCAGAGCCACTTCAGTCCTACACATAAAGTTTCCTCAACAGATAAAAAACAGTCAAACTAGTGCTCCCTTTCAAAGTCTGGCATGCAAGTCATTCTGCTGACCTTCTCTAGCTTGTATTCACCATTAATAGGGTCAAGGGTACTGGGCTCAGTACAATCGACTGGGCAGGGGAGGAGGCAAGGACGAGGGAGAGTAGCTTCCATGGTGCTGAAAACCCTGAGGACAGAAATGCAGGGTACGGCTAGAAGAGGTCATATCCCATTTGCGTTTTAAAAGAGTTTTTAACTGAGCTTACCTGAAAGACTCAAGGGTATTGGCTGCCCAGATATCTGTGCCCAACATGTCCAGGGAGCTGTCTTTGTTGCCGTTCTAAAAAGGAGGGGAAAAAGCTGTTATTCTACAGGTGTTACAACGTGCTTTCTGGATGACTGAGCCAATGTACAACTGTGCCACTGAGTGTTAACAAGACTCTCTGAATAAAATAGAGATGCTGCAACATTTTCTCGTGGTTCCTCCATTGAGCCAGAGGATTGTTGCCCATCCCACGTTTGATCCATGGTTTAAGAGGGTGACAAACTCACATATACAAATTGTCACTAATTTAGTAAAAAACTCAACTTTGGGCAGCAGAAGAGCTACAACAAGTGGAACGAGACTGAAGAGAACAAGGCAGAAACTAAGGGTTGCACTGGGGATAACCACTGGAAGATGGCAGGCCACTGGAAGAGGGGCCTAATGTCCATCCCAGTCACCAGCAAGGAACATTTTGAAGGAGAAGACTGATTTTGCCCCAGGATTTCACCCGATATTGAGGGGGGCTATATGATCCCAGTGTGATATTTCCCCCTCCAACAGTTGAGCCTTGTGAGGCCTATGAAAGGTTCTCGAGGGTCAGGCAACTTGCCAGGGTTAACATATCCTGACCAGTCACCTCAGCTCCAGATTTAAGGACGAGCTGAAAACAAGGTGAGATAGGACCTGTCCCAACCTTGGTATGATAAGGGCTATCATTAGACAGCTCTCAACAGTGCCAGGCTTATTTCACTGAAGCACAATTTAGTTCTTTGCAAAAGCATTCGATAACCTACAGCCAGTGTTGGGTTTGGGGGCATGAAGGCTTTGCCTTTTTCTTTCACTAGCTCAGAATGAAGTGCCAAAAACCATATGGTTTCTGTCCAAAACACATCTGGGAAGGACATCTGATGAGTTCTGTTGCATCAAAGGCGAAGCCACCGCATGTCATGTCCTACAAAGCCACAGGAGACAGACAGCCCACATGCACATATAAAGCCAAGCGCATTGCTGACACGATGGTCTGACAGTGGCATCTCCCACTGTGATCTGACTCGCAACACAAAAAAGATGCACGAGCAAGGTACGTTGTCGGTCAGTGGGCACTATTTCATTCTCCTCGGTACGGACTGAACCTCTTGCGTTACCGACACACCTGTCTAATACTGCACTTTTCCTCCCAAGTCAAACTGAACTCATGACATTTTCTTTCCAATGTCTTGGCCTGACAGCCCCAGAGTCTTTAGTCTTTTGCCTGCTTGCCCTTAGGACTGTTACAACACATGCAACAGCAGTGCAAGCCTCTCGAATTTGCCTTACTGATGCACCTCAACTGGAGCTACTTCATAACAGCCAGGAAATGGCTATCAAAAAAGAAACAGCTTTTGGTCACTATTGCCTTGAGTAGGATTTGAACCATTAACTTAAAAGGAGATGTCTCTAGAGCTCTGCATTTCCTAAGCTGTTCAATACTTAAAATTTGAGGGGGAGTGGGTCCGGAGGATGACAAGACTGCAAACAAGTGGGTCTAGGACAAGGAAGTATACCCACACGCACATATGCACTCACGTGCTCATGTATTAGGCAACACCAGATTTAAGGTTACCTGTGCAACCTGAAGTTGGCCCCTCTATGGACATACAGTCTGCAAGTGCCTGCATGACACCATTATGTCCTATCCTCCTCCCCACCTTAGCTTACCCCATCCCCTCATTCACTATGCAGTATGGATCTGCACAGCGGGTGAATCAGGGCTGCACAGCAAAGGAGGCTGCAGTTTATGAACCCTGATTCATTTATTGCAGAAGCTGGAAGGGGGGTGTGGAACGAGGCAGGTAACTACAGGACAAGAAAGGACCGTGTGCCATGGTTAATGCAACTGGATGGTGTCCAGGAGAACTGAGCTTTAGCTTTCCCTGCTTCTGCCAGTGTTTCTGTATTCTCCTAAGCAAGTCCTTTAAACCACGTTTCACAAGCGGCCAAGAGCTCTGCGCTCCTCGGCCTCGGGGTGCCTGACCTGAGATATTGGCATAACAGAAAAGTGAAACGCTCACAGCCATGTCTGAATCCCACGGGTGCCACATTTTGAACACACAACGTGCTAGACCGTCCCACGTGCTCTGAAAAGATATGGTCCCTGATGTCTCAACTTGAGCGCACAAACTTTTGACCTTAATCTCTGTGCCCCAGCTCTCTGTCCGTGACATGGGGAAGATCTCGCTTTACCCACAGAGAGGTCCAACTTGTACAGCAAATAGATTGGATCAGAGCATATGCAGGGAGGGAGTCAAAATAGGGTTGCACAGGGCTTTTATGCCTTTGATAATGTTCTTTCAATACAGTTTTTGGTGGATAATATTAGGGACTTAGTCACAATTTTGCGTTTTTCATGGAAACTGTGATTTGAGATAGTTTCTACAGAAAGCGTCATTCCTTGTGATGTTCAGCAGAATCACTGGGGGGGAAGGAACCTTACTGAAAATAAAATGTTAGCTTGCTAGCTCCCCAGTGGGAGCCCTCCCAGCCACTGGCATGCAGAAAGGGAGCCAAGATGGTGGCTGCCCTCTCCTCCCTCCACCACTGACTGGCTGAGAGGGCTGCCCATCATGCGGCCCCCGCCCCTCTCCACCAATTAATGGCAAGAGGCGGAACCACATGAACAGGAGCCCTCTTGGCCAATCAATGGCAAGGGACGGCTGCCGCTGGGGCCCCGGGCCAATTGGCAGTGACGGGGGACCTCACTGCAAAAAACCACGAAAATGGCAGCCGTTGCTGCGTTCGGCCTGCAAAATTGCTCGCCTGCCTCCTTGATTTCAGTGGGTCCCTAGTCATACCGTATTCCACTGAAGTGCATAATGTGGGGACTGAAGAAACATGATGCACTGACCCGGAGTATGTCCGTACTTATCCAGCATCGGTGTAGACAAACGGTGCTCATGAACTACAAGGAACACCTTGTGCTAAAAGTTTGTACGTTGTTGAAGCCTGTTACTTCTTTTTCAGAGTGCCTTATGCCTGTGATCTCACCTTGAAATGAACAGACTCTACTCCCTTCAAGGCTGTTTCAGAAACCTTGAAAACGGTGGATTCTAGCCAATGTCATCCATTTTGCCCTCACCGGACAGCTACATAACAGAGTCGACAGAGAAGCTGAAAAGTTCTTATTTGCTTAAGTAATTGATGCATTTAATTGCTATTTGTTACAATGTAAGCAACGGGCAAAAAATTGGGATTGGCACTGTAGCTTGTAGTCAGGTGTCCAATACGCACTTACTGGATAGACACGTAGGTGGAGTAACACTACATGTGAATATAAAGCAGCTCAACCAACACTTGGGTTTGTGTCTACAACCTAAAGGATAAAATTCGACTAGTGAGAATTAAAAAAAAGAATTAAAAAAAAGAATTAAAAAACAGAGCCTGTTTCAGTCTATAGGCAGAACATTAATAAAATAATACCGATCATTAGGACAGGGTTATCTGCCTTTAGAGGTAGTGGTTGGTCTGTTCCAAGATGATCCATATTACGGGAGAATATTAACTATTTGTAGTCTACTACATTTTTTTTCTGATAATAAATTCATTTAGGTGTTTGTAGCTAGGTTTCAGAACAGATGAGTTCAGCTGTTCATTGAATCACCCAAATCTTGCATTCAAGTCATGATTCATAAATAGCAGTGGACTAGATGATGAATTCTTTTCTTCTGGTTATGTCCACATCCAGCACCCATCTGGAAAGGCTGCTGATTACAGTCCGAATATTATAACCTTCCTATCAACATGTGACAATTTCTCAGTCAAATCATAGATCAGAAATTGGAAACAGTGGGAGAACAATGGAAGCAATACTTCTCCAAAGGCAAGACTGGATTTTCAGTATGCATCCCAGATGGACAGATTTCAGTACTACTCCCAAGACCAGCTGGCAATTCAGGCAACATTGTACTGAACGGAGATGCAATGGATTGCTTTTCTCAGGGGTGTCTATTGACTGTGATTTTAAGTCCTTTGGGTTTTCAGATGAAGAACTCTCCATACAGAAGCTGCAGCTTGCAACAAAGCTGTCAGGAACAACACTGCCTAATAGTCTGACGGCCAATCATGGAAGCAGAGTTCTTGATTTTAGGAAGACATAAGTTGTCAAAGGAAAAAATAATCCTTATTTAATTAGTTGTTGTCATTCCCATGCAACATAATGAAATGCGGATGCAGTTCCTGTCACAAATACACCATTATGATTAATTATCATGCAGAAGAAGATTTTTCTTGCAGACAGATACGTTCTTCTTCACAATACCCTCCTATGGATGCAAGACATTTGGGTATCCTCATTAAGCCACTTATTAGAGGATTTCCTCAGAGCACAAGTATAATCATTGCTTATCAGGGAGGAAGGGTTGTAACATGCAGCAAGTTACTATGAAGATAAAATAGATCTGTAGAAGATGTATTTTAGTTCAGGGATTTAAGTACATGACCAATTTCCTCTGAAATTTCCCGTTATATTTCTAACCAAGCTTCAATCACAGTTTAAAAGCCCATGTGGTCACTTGCAGAGTCTCGGTAAATTAAAAGTACACTGGGATAACATCTACAGCACAGTGTAATCCTACACAAGGCATAAATGTGCCTATTACAGCATTTCTCAGCATGGTACTGAGCCTTAGTAATCAAAGCAGCTGATTCTCAAATCCTGATGCGAAAACAGCATTTTAAAACAGTTCCCTGGCACTGCAATTTTGATGGTAATCAGCTTTAAACTTCAAGAGCCCAATGGCCCAACCCATAGGTTTAGATAGTAACTTGCACATAAGCGGGGTTAGAGTCTTGCTCTTGAAAATTAAGGCATTATGAGCAATTATTGAAAGTCCCTGTGATGAGCATAATAAATACTTAGATTAGACATGGTTTGATCATACAGATCCCATACATATTATGGGACGTGACACATGGACTTAGCTTCCAGTATCCTGAGGACACAAATGCAGATGGACAAAACCTACAAACACAAATCCCACAAGCTTAATTTGCGTGTACAAGTATTGTGATTGCACCCACAAGTGTAGCAATGGCACAAGCAAAACAAAGAGCTGTGAATCAAGCTGGGTAATTATATAAACAGCTACAGTATACTCCGCACAAAGTTATGACAGGCCATTTCCTTGCCTTCTATTCTACAGAAAAATCAATCTGCATTCAACATGCTCTCCGCTGCACTATTTCTGCTACATCTAAAAGTCAATGTGCTGACCATTACGACAAATAATAATGTGAACAGCTGCCTGAATCTTTATAATTCCTGCATACTGTGGGGACTCTTAAGTGCTTAATGCCTGGCAAATCTCCACTGGAGTCCTTACTACTGCATCTTGCCCATACTATGCGGGTAGCATACAGTCGGCTACCAGTACTCGCAGCTAGGGCTGGCCAGGAATTTTCCGATTCAACTGTGTCTATCATCCAAAAATGCCTGTTCATCAAAACGTAAGCTTTCCAGAAGAAGATACATGCCAGTGTCAACAAAAGTAGTCTTTTCTAGGCAGAAGAAGAGAGGGATGGCTTCCTCACTTCCCCCAGAATAGCAAGTGGCCCAGTGGTTAAGGCACAGGGATGCAGAAGAAAAAAGTTCAAAATGCTGGTTCAGGTGGAGCAAAGCTTAATCCTCAAATTCCCATCTCCCAGGTGAGTGCTCTTGGTCTCTCTCAGGTTCCAGTTTGTATTAATAATACCATCAGGAATTTAAACATTAGTCTCCCACATGTCGGATCAGTGCTACAAACACTGGGCTATCCAGTAGATTGCTCCCATTCTCCAGCCCATGAATAGTATGTATACAACATGGAGTAGCTCCAGCCGGAGGTATTTAGGCACCAGGGCAGAGTGCACGACTCTACTCTAGTAGTCAGGGTGTTCACCAGGGTTGTGGAAGACTGATGTTAAAGTCCCAGTCAGACTGAGGCAGAGCAAGGACTTGATCTTAGTCTCCCAGCATCCCATGCAAGTGTCCTGCCCATGGGGATACTGGCTACTCTAGGACAAGCAGAGGGGTCTCTCTGTTCCTGAAACATTTTGAAAGGTCTCATGTTCACCTTGACTGAAAAGAAGAAAAACGTGGAATTTTCCAAGACAGGAAAACCATTTTCTCTACTGACAGCTCCCAGGAGAGACCGCAGCTAGGCTTGGGACTGTGTTGCAACATTTAGAGTGCTGAGTCAGTCCCACGGTTTAGCTTTCAAAGGTGACCTGCAAAAGATATTTTATCATTTGCAGGCCCCCTGTCATATACCCAAACTGAAGCACTCCAAGACTTCAAACACAAAAAAATTCTTGTTAGACTAAACTGACCTGCACCAAGCTTCCTTCACCATCTTAAAACACTCCACACTTCTAAAAAGGCTTTGCAAAACATAGACACAATAGCTACGTACTAAGCTGGCCCCGATGGGTGCATTGTGCAGAAAAATTAGTTTCTTAAGTATACTTCATAATTTCCCCACATCTAGACATACGTGCACGCAGACACACACACAGAGATCATGTCATTGAAAGAACAAGCCTATGATTAGCAGCAAGCGAAGGATATGATTTCAGCATTCCTCAATCAGCTCTCACCATCACTACTAGATTATACCTTGGTTGATTGACTGAACTGGCTGCTTCTGCCTTGGCTGCCAGACCTTGATCCAGACCCATGCCCGGAGCCTGAACTAGGCCGGGATCCTGAACTCCCACTGCTGCTGTGATCCCACTCTTCCTAGAAACAACAAACAGCTCACTTTAGTCATATGCAACTTAATTCCTAACCTAATGAAAAATACCAATTTAAAATGCTAGAGGAAGGGTGGTCATACGTGCACACGCTTGTTAGCAGCCAAGAACTCCCAAATGCTAAACTTGGCTCTGCCAAAGATTTACTCTGGCTGTGGACAGACATCAGTTTTAATCGCTTTAAAAAAGGGGAGTGGGAAGGATAAGCATTTGCTGTTCCAACATAACTGTTACATCTGCAGCCTCCTTTAGTGGCATACATGAACTAAACCTTTGAATGAATCAAGGTTAAAGTTACAACAGCTTTGCTACACTTGTTTGGCTACAAGAGCTTGTGTTCTCAGAGTTTATACTAGGGCTGTCAATTAATCAGTTAACCTGTGTGATTAACACGTTAATTGGTTCTTGAGTGAATTTTTTTTAATGCATTAATCACACACCTGGTTTTGGCGCTTGCACCCAGGCTCTGCTCTGCCACCTCCGGGCCGCCCAGCGGGGCCAGTGGCAGTGTAGAGGGCCACAGGGCAGCCTGGGTGCGGGCTGCGGTGGCTGCAGCCAGAGGTGGGGGGGCTCACGCAGACACAGATGCACATGAGTAGCCACAGCCTGCATGCTGCATGGAGAGTAGCACCGTACCAGGAAGTCTGTGGAGAGGGAGGGACAGGGGAAAAGGGAAGGGATGGGAGGGGCAGACTGAGGCCTCCACAGTGAGCGGGGGAGTGGGGCAGGGGCATGCACGGGGGTGAAAGGGGCCCCAGGGCCAGGGCAGGTCATGGGACAAAGCGGTGGGAGACTCATCCAGAGGTGTGGGGGCTTTCTGCCACTGCACAGACCCCTGGAGGAAGCATGGGGGATGCGTGCTCCCCAGATTTGTGCATGGGGTGGAGGCGGGGTGCCCGCTGTGGGCTGGGGCTCTGCGCCCTGTTGCCTTCACCTTCGTCCCCTGCCTGCCTGGCGGTGGGAGGTACAACATGGCATTGCACGGCTCCTGGGGCAAAGGCAGCAGGGCGCAGAGCCCCAGCCCACAGCGGGCAGTCTGCCACCACCCAACACACAAATATGGGGGGCACATATCCCCCATTCCTCCCCTGGGGGTGCAGGCAGAGGTGGGGAGATGCTCCCCCCCATTGCACCCCTGGATGAGCTGCCTGCGACTGTTTCACAACCTGCCCCAGCCCCAGGTCCCATTCACCCCAGCACCTGCCCCTGCCCCACTTCCTACCTGACTGTAGGGCTCTCAGTCTTCACCCCATACCCCTGCCCTCTCCCCTGCCCTTTCCCCTCCACAGACTTACCAGCGTGGCACTGTCTGTGCCTGTTTAGTCCCCACTCCCAAGCCACAGCCCCCCCCAGACCTGCTGCTGCCCCTCACTCCTGACCCACAGTACCCTGCATCCTACTAGGGTGTGGGGACCCTCCCAACTCCAAACCCTACACACACACTGACAGCCCCCTAGACCTTCACAAAGTCCCCCGACAGACACCCCACCCCCACCCCATACAAAGTACCTCTATAATTTTGCATTATTTTGAGTTTTTCTGTGCATATTTTTTTCAGTTTTCAGCTGTGCGATTAAAACTGTGATTAACTGCAATTAATTTTTTTAATTGTGCAACTAATCGCGATAATATTTTCAAATCATTTGACAGCCCGAGTTTATACCAGTATCACTGGATACAAGGCACAACTGTTGCATCTGTCTACATCTTCAGCAGTTTGGGTGAGGTGCTCAACATATCTAGACCAAATAACACCTTTTTTAAACATTTGCGACCCAACTGCCTAAAATGGCATTGTAGAAATGGGACTGTAAGTCAAGGCAGGTTTTGGTCCTTTTGACCTCAGGTTCCCCATCTATAAGTGAGCAATAATAATACTTACCTCCCTTAATGGTGTGAGGACTGAGGTTTACTTGGTAATATGGTGCACATCACTCAGTGCTAAGTATACTAATCACAAAAGAAAATAAAATTCAACTCATTTAGTGGAATTTCCTCCTTGTTAAGTCGAACCACATTTATTCACACACCTTGGAAATCTTTAAGCTCCACAGTCCAAAGGAATTAAGCAACTGTAGCTACCCTTGTCCACAAAACAATTGTGAATGCTCTGCGTTTGTCCTCATTACACCTGTTCAAGAAACCATGGGTTTCTTGTTCAGTGTTTCCAGGGCCTCCTGGGGAGTCCCTATAAAACTAAAATACCTGATTTGATCAGACACACCCAAGCAGCCCCGGAGATGGTTGGGGTGCAAGGATGTTTGTCTGCCTCGAGCCTGAGGAGTTTCACAAGCTTTGCTCTGAAACTCAGAAAAGACCTCTGAAGTGGTCAAAGATAGGAAAAAAGATACAGCACAGAAGTGTGAACTGTAGCACTGGAAACTGGGAAATAAAAATGCAAGTGTGTCTTTGAAGAGTGAGATGACAAGAGCCGACGTGTTAAAGAGGGCTCATAAGTACTAATTAGGGCTACGCACATCTCAACTCACTGATGCCCTGCCATGATTTAAAGGTAAAAGTCATGCTGCCCTTTTCCTAGGAGTTGAGTGGACACGGCAGGCCGTGCCATGACTGTTATTCATACCCAAGGCTCAGGTTCCCATCATTAACCTTTGGTCTACATGGTTTTTGTGCCTGTGTAACGAGGTCAGTTAAGGGCATGATTTGTCACCGACTTCACAAGGGGGAATGCAGCTGCACCAACGTAAAGGTGCCTTTTCTTTGTGTAGTTCATCGTCTCTCTCATGTGGGAAGAAAATCTCTACTGAACTAAGTATTCTTATATGGCTGCATATATGCAAAGAGGGGTAGCAAATGTACTCCTTCAGTGTTCATGCCCCATGCCTGAAGAGTGTGCTTAAACAAATGGTACGCTGCTTAAATGCTGCTAACATTTTGGATGTCACCACAGCAGCTGTGCCTTTGACTGCAGTGCAGTGCTGGCATCTCTAAGCTGCTTTAAATGAACAGCTCAGGTGCCAGCGCCTGCCTAGCCACAACTTTACGCAGGAGCTCAGCAAGGTCTGCAAAACCATTGAAGACGCCGAGTGAATGCTTGCATGGCTAGTCACGGGGGCCTGCAAGGTGCTGAGGCTATGCGGAGAGCAGTGCATGAGCTAGCTCAGTTATGCTCACACCCAACGGTGGATGCCAGGGTGCAGCAGTGCAGTTGCTGTGGTCTCTGGTCTCAGACTTTATACCAGTGATGGCAGTCCTGCAACCCTGCAAAAGTATAACCTCTGAGATACTCCGAATGTGTTGGGCACCTGGGATTTACCCTATTTCTCCAATTTGGGAGAAAGCCATTGAGTGCACTGTGCCACTCCATGTCTGAGAAATAGTAAGGGTAACAAAGCACATCACATGGCCAAGCTGGGATGAAGGAAGAAACATTTATGAGCCAATTGCAAGAGGTACAAGGTGGTCTGCCACGTGAAGCTGCATGAGGCTTCCTTCCTCCAGAAGGAAGGATAATCTCCATTTGGTCCAGAAAGCACAGAAGCGGAAGCAAAGAAATAAGCCAGGAGAAAAGAAGAGCTTGGGTTTTCATCACTTCCATGTTTAAAGGGCCATTTATGAGTTTACAGAGTTGTGTGTCTTAAGGTCACAGATGGGAACAACTTCAGATCAACAGAGAACACGAGTGCCATAGGGGAAAAAACTCAACATACTGGAGAGCTGGCTTGGAAAGTCTGTAACCCGAGGTCAGAAATTGATTGCACAGGCAGCAACCATACCTCTGATATATGAGATCTTCAGGATGCCAGCAAGTACTGGAAAGTTTTCACAGAAGAGAAAAAAAATTCGAAACAGGTGCGTTAAAACTTATTTCTCTATCAAACAGCATTGGGGAAGAGTACATAAATGTGTCTAAACTTAATTCCATTTTTACTTAAGAGTGAATAAACACATCTAAACTCAATTTCCACTTAAGAGAAAGTAATAGTCTAATAAAGAACCAGGATTTACATTTCCAAGCACAAGCCTTGAATGAAAGAAAAACTGCACATCAAATTGTAGAAGAAGATGCCAGGAGAGCAATTTTTCTATACTGTAGTCTATGAGATTGCCATACAACGAAAGGCATCTTTTTCATATTAGAAGTCAGATAAGAGAATTATTTCTGGAGATATATCCTCACCAAATTCATATCAAATTGGGCTAGAAAATCATCTTTCTAAACTATAGCCAGGTAAGCAATTATTTAAGAGAAGCTGAACTTAAGGCTTGAGAACTGTCTCACTGACTTCAGTGTGGACTTCTGAGCTGGTTTTTAAGATGACTATTCATAAATTTATGAATTAGGTTACTTAGCATGGCTTTATCCCCATGATAAAAGGGGACTAGATGTGGTGACCTCGGAGATCCCTCGTCCTCTGGTCCTAGGAACTCACAGTCTTAAAGTTAGGTGTATACCAGAGCTATCTGAGCCAGCAAAATACCAGACAAGGAAATGTGGTTGACTGGGAAAAACGATGTAAAAGAAACGGAGGGATTAATTGCCTATAGTAGGTTAACACCTAAACTAACACATAGCCCAAATGCAATGAACTGATTAAACACATATCATGAATATAACTTTACAAATCCAGTTTTTGGATCGACGAACTCATAGCCTCTACGACGCGGCTCTGCTGTATACCGTATCTGTCACCATTACAAGTTATCAGCCTCTTTTAATGCTTACATATAAAACCGGCAGCTTCACATTTAATAAATTAGATATTAAAGAGACCTGTGTTCGCATTCATTAGCACCATATGCCAGGCTGCTACTTCTGTGGGCACAGGGGCTAAGACACAGTTTGCAGTGTTACTTCAATTGAATGATTGCAGATTTACACCAACGTTACCAAGGTGCCACTGAACAGACTCTTGTGGGTGACAAATATCAGCCTCAACCTACCCGTGAAGGATTCAAATCATCCAGCTAAAGACAAATGTCTCCATTACCCCACTAGCATTTCTCCATGGCATTTCTAGTAAT